ATATGGCTGTGAAACATAGACGACTTATCGACGCCACATACGAAAGCTCGATCAATTCCACATGAAATGTCTTTGAGCTATTGACCACACCAAATGGGAAGATAGTGTCAAATGTCATGGTATTGGAGAGATTTAGTGCAATGGGTATCGAGGCAATGCTGCTCCAGGCCCAATTTTGCTGGTCAGGGCACGTTGTCCGCATGCCGGATGCAAGAATTCCAAAACAGGTCTTTTTTGGACGTCTGGCCTCGGGTGCTTGTCTTGCAAGTGGCCCGGTTCGAAGATATAAGGACGGTCTGAAGGAAAACTTGAAGAAATGTGGACTTGATCCAAAAACATTTTGCACTGAAGCCTAACAGCGTACGGAATGGACATCGAACTCACAGGCGGCGGTTTCTGCCTTTGAACAGGCACGGATCACAGCTCTGGTTGACAAAAGGAAGTGGCAAAAACAGGTGGCCCAGGATGGAAGCGGCACAGGAGTGTGGGTTTGTGGAATCTGTGATCGTTGATGTTTGTCTAGAATGGGACTTTTTGCCCACATGAAGTCACATCAATGACCCAGTTCTTCGCTCACGAAGATGCAGTCCATGTATGTATGAATGAATGTATGTATTTATGTATGTGTGTATGTACGTATGTATGTATGTTTTTTTCAATTTTGAGAAACAAATAAAATATCGTTTCGTATGTATCTATGCATGCATACATGCACGCATGTGTGTATGTAAATATGTATGTATGTATGTATTATTGTACACACGTGCCCTATATATTATATTTATATGTTGTGTATGTTTAATACAATGCAGGTATAAGTGTACATGTACATCATTACTTTTATATCCAGACAAGTTATATGGAGCAAGGTTATACTCGCTTGTTACAGACAGACAGACGGTAATTTAGATCGCATTATGATGTTATAAGATGATGTTAGGTTGTGGTGTTAAAAGAAGAAATGTGAGGATGTGATGTGATGTGATGGAATATGGTGTCATGTAATGTGATAATTTTTTATGTTAAGAAATGTGATAACATAATAACGTGACTTGGAGCAAATGCTATTGTGATGAGTATTGATGCTATTACGTGTGGTTATTCTTTATTCTTGACAGTTTAAATGGTTTTTCAAATTTATTTTTTTTAGCTGAGGCAAAAAGCATAAATTCAGAAAGCTTTGTATTTATTTTTTGTTGCCCGTATCTTAAAGAAGTTGATCATTTTCTTGAAGCAATTATTCAAGTGTTTCTGTTCTTCTTGTTCTTAATAAAAAAATTTATCTAAAAATTGAAATTCTCGATAAAGTTGATTAGTTGATGAATGAATTTAACATAAAATAATGCGATAGACTTTTTGTTACCAATTAGATTATTATCCGTGTCTAAAAACTGGGAGCTGTAAGCAATAATATTTCTGCTGAAATCTTTACTATCTTCCTCACTGAATCTTTGTCTCCCTCATCATCTTCATCGTCATCATCCTCATCTCGTCATATCATCATTATCCTCATCATCACCAACATCATTGTTATTGTTTAACATGCATAGTTCTAATGCGGTTCCGTATTTAATGCAAAAGCCGAAATCAACGCTAATATGTTTTTTTCATATTACTTTTTATTTTGTTTTTATTTCATCCTTCGATTGTTGCTGAATTGACAGCACAGTTTGCATTCTACGCAAAATCATCTCGTCTTTTTAACAGTCTCAACTTTTTTAAAAGTTCTACTGCTCCAGTGCAATTCTCTTAATTAACTTTTAAAAAAAGGTACCCATGGATAATGGGTTTTTTTTTTTTACAATTTTTTGTTGCATAACCATTTCGATCAGTTGCAAAATTTTTTTGCGATCTTTGGTCCGCTTAAATTCAAGTTGAAAAAATAATAAAAATGTATACATACATACATACATACATCATCGTCAATACCGACAAAAGTCATTTTCGACATCATTCAATATGAATACTGACATCACCATCATCAATCATCATCTTCACCATCATCATAAACATCGTTATCATCGCCACTATCATCATAATCATCGTCATCATCGTCACCATCATCATAATCATCGTCATCCTCGTCACCATCATCATAATCATCGTCATCATATTCCTACAGCTGTTTCGCTGTCAATATCTCCTTCAAAAAGATGTCTCATCCCAGGTTTTGACATCATTATTGTCGCTATTATTGTCATCATCATCATTTTTTGTTATTATTATTATTATTATTATTATTATTATCATAAACCAAATCATTCATGTCATCAATGCTATCCTTATTTTAGTCTTGCCAATCATTTTAAAATTGAAACTTTGTCATAATTTGAAAACCAGAACATCTCTCTAACAATTGCATCTGCTGCTGTGCAATGGGTTTGTGTGTGTGTGTGCGCGCGTCTCTGTGTGTGTGCGCGCGCGCGTCTGTGTGTAAGTGTTGTATGATATCTGGTAGAGCTCAAAAATTTGCCTAATGAAAATTAAGTGTTTTTGAAAGTTTCAATGAACGTTTCTATGTTTAATTTGTATGTACGGCTAAACAGTACTTTTTTAACAATTGTTCATACGTGTCAATTGTGTTTGCACGGTAGGCACGAGCGTTCAGCGACGCTTACGTATTGACGCGTCGCTGGAAGCAGAACCACCCAGATTAAAATTAGAATCGATCCAAAAATAGAAACATTTCATTGTGACACCTGGTTATATTACTACTGCGTGTACCAATCGTGCCCAAGGTGTGTGTTCTGCTTCTGATGTGTTCTGCCCTGGTTTCTTGTTGTGTTGTTTTGTTTCGTTGTGTTGTATAGCATTGGGTTTTATTTAGCTGTGCTTTTTTCTGTTATTATATTTTGTTGTATTTTGTTAGTATTGAAGTAACCATAACGACTAACAGTCACTTTTTCCTCCAAATAATATAGCGCTATGAATCGATCGAAATGAACTTAGACGTGGTTATTAGACTCACCAGAACATTGCGGTTATATGGAAATTTTTTTTGAGAAATGCCTGCCAGCTAAAGAAGAAGAAGATTTTGTTCACATCTGTCGAAATTTGTTACTGCTGCAAACTGATGTGTTAAATATTCGGTCAAAAATGAGTGCATACGATTGTTGCATCAAGCGATACATGTAAGCTAGCTCTCTCTCTCTCTCTCTCTCTGACTATTCTCTCTCTGACTATGTCTTGGTGGTGTCTTCACAAACGTACAACGCTACTTCTCAACAACTGCTATGTTCTTAAACTCCAATGCTTCAAAGCATCATTGACTGTATGATGAAAAACAATTCAAAAGTATTTGTGGTTATTCATTATATTTTAGTTATACTATCTGTAAATAATCAGTCGTACATTAAGATTGTTGTTAATACGGCAGTCAATGGGCTGAAAGAAATGAAACCGCACCCCGCACAGCCACTCTTCCGTTCTTCCTTGCTGTTCCTTCTGCAACTTCAAATTATAACAAAAATGGCATGAGAACGTTTCGTCAATAAGATGCAAATACATAAAGGAGAGGGGCTGTACTGCACATGTATGCAGAGCAACACCGTTACTGATGGCGTTGGAAGCCTTTTTTAGTAAGTTAAAAAGAACAAAAACAATTAAAAAACGGTAAAAACAACTTTTAAAGGGAGGAAAACATAGAAGCAGCAGAAATAACTGCACAGACAGACAGACGTACAGACAAAATTACTTAACGAAAAAACTATTTCGTTTAGAAGCTTGTACACGTAAAGATAAATAAAGATACTAATTATTTTGAAGGAATATATATTAGATAACAATAACTGCATCACAATCACACAAGTACAAATGCAAGCATCATCTTCTTTATACACACAACCATATCTTAAATGGAGCATGGGAAGGAATGTATTGTAAAGAATTACATCAGATGAGAGAGTAAGTGCAAAGTATACTAACCTACATACATAAGCACAGACACCAAAGAAAACATAAACGAGTACAAACAAACATATGCAAATGCACAAAAACACACACACATACATATAAACACACACACGCGCATAGACGCACACACAGACAGAGACACACATACACTCAAACACGAGCATGCATACATTTGTTTATGACATCGTTTCAGACTAACTTTTTTCTCTCTCACGCTCGTCGGATAAAGATGATGCGTAGTAATAATGAGGCGAAGAGAATAATAATAACAATAATAAGAACAAGAACAAGAACAAGAAGAACAAGAACGAGAAGAACAAGAACAGGAACAAAAAGAACAAGAAAAAGAACAAAAAGAACTAAAAGAACAAGAATAACATTAGCAACAAAACAATAATAATAATAGCACTATCAACAGCGACAATAAAATGAAGCAACATTAATCAATGAATTAATAATAATAATAATAATAATAAACTATAAATGAAAAAGTGATAAAATGTGATGAAAGAAATAACGAATTTTGTAATGTAATTTTCTCAGGTCTGTTTTTGAAGAATATTATTTTTATTCAAAAATTTCACAGATTTCACAGTTCTTCTATTTTATTTATTTATTTTAATTTTATTTTTATTTATTTTTTAGCGTGACTTTGTAAGGGTTTATATTTTTGCTGATAAAAAAGAATTAAGATTGAATTCATTCCAGGGTTCCGTCGTTACGCGGTAAAAAAAAAAAATATTTCAATTAAATTATTTTTCAAATTTAAAAAAATTTTATTTATTCGGTAATAATTTTAAAATAACTGAAAATTATTTGAAATATAAAAATTATTTGAAATGAAAAAAAACAGTGAAAATAAAAGATAATAATAAATTTTTTAAATGAGAAAATGGACGATAATAATAATAAACAATAATAATAATTGTAATAATAATAATAATAATAATGTTATTGTTGTTATAAAAGAATAACTAGCAAGGCATTTAAAACGCGGGAACAGCAGAATTTAAAAATAGAAAAATAAATAATTTAGACGAAGTTGTAAAAATAACAAAAAAAATAACAGAACAGATATTGGAAAATGACTGAAGATGCTATTGAATACAGTGCAAGTACAAATGAATCATATTTATTTAGATCACCCGTCGTTATCAGTTCTACTGCAGTATCATCATCATCATCTTCTTCTTACTCATCATCATCATCTTCTTTTTTCTCCTCCTCCTCATCTCCTTCGTCATCATCGTCGTCGTCGTCATTGTCTTGATAATCATCGTCATTATATTTTTGCTATATTTTAGTTACCATCTATTTGGTTATTATGGTAAGGTGGTTTTATTATTGTTGTCATAATCATCACCTCTTAATCATTGTCATCATCATCATCATCTTTGCTGAACAAAACGAAATATAATATAATTATATCAACATTAAAGTTTTAATTAGTCATACAAATGTTACAACAACGGACAAGCACAAAAGACGTAAATAAAATTGAGGATCATCATCATCATCATCATCAGGAGCAACCGCACTGCTCGAGGACCATGTTAGGAACGACCTCGTGCAAGATATCGCCCTTCTCGTTCTGGTAAAGGATGGAGAGGTCGCTGTGCTTGGTGGCGCTGCAGCAGCTGGCGTCCTCATTGCGGCGAACGAACGAGTACATGCGGTTGTCCCTGGAACCAGAGAAGGCGTAAATGTTCATCTCGGGGCAGTCGCCGGCGCAATAAAATGTCTGGTAGACGGTGGGGGCGATCACCCACGACCACCCCATCAGGTTGAAGTTGATTTCCAGGACGTATCGACAGCAGCGGCTGTTCCTGTAGTTGTCGTGGTCGCATGTCTTTTCTGACGTCATCAGTTCTCGTTTTGAACGGCTGACGTTCATACGGTGTAGTCTTATAAATAGGTAGGGCATCTGAGTTGATGTTTGTTTGTAATTTTCAACATGCACATTTTTGCAGCATGTGTATATGTCTGTTTGTGTGTGTCTTTTCTTTTCTCTCTTTCTTTCTCCCTGCTTCTCTATCTCTTTCTCTCTAATTCTCTCTTTCTCCTCTCTTTCTCCCTAGTTCTCTCTTTCTCCTCTCTTTCTCTTTCTCTTTTTCTCTCTCTCTCTCTCTTTCTCTCTAGTTGTCAGTCTCTTCATTGACATGTGCGTGTATCATTGCAGTGAGTGTGGCAAATTAAAATGTTTTGCGCCAGCGTAGAATGTGTAGTCAGCCGTGCTAACAAAGCGCGTGTGAATGTCGGTGAGTAATTTGTTGATGTCTGCAGAATCAATCTACATGCCAGTTCATTTATCAAGACGTCACTCATCGCTTCAATCTTCAATCAATCAACTCAACAATCAAAGCATTTGTCCCTTCGACTCATCTATCATCCCGTTCTTTCATCAATCAAATCATTGAATATTGCGAGGTTAATAATTCACCCAAAAACCCATTTTAATAAAATGAATAAAAAACTTTCCACCAAACAACAGCAACGACATTCGTCCAACCTAACCAACCAACCAACCAACCCACCCACCTTATCATACTCCGAACTGTCGATCGGCTTAACGATTGCCATCTTCAAATTTTTACTGTTGAACCCGCAGACGATGGAGACGGTGAAGTTGTTGCTGGTTTGCGTCGGGTCGTATTTCGTCTGGAAGAAGGTGTGCACGGACTGTGTGATGTCCAACTTGTGCCAGGTGTTGGTGTAGCGCTGATATGAATGGTAGAGGTCGAGTTTCTTTCGAAGTAGAACTCTGTTGTTTGTTGTTTTTTCAATGCATGTAAATTATGACAATAAATAATATAATATAATAAAAGCAATAAATTGATAAATAATAATAATAATAATTATAATATAAACAATTGATATCATAACTAGGTCATGCAAATATAAATTCAACGAGATTATATTACAAAGCTCTTGAAAGGGAGAACTTATTTACGATAGGAAGTTTATTTTAAATTGGTTTTAAACTAACAAATAATTTTTATAACAACATCATGTGTCAGAGTTTAAAAGCTGAAAAATAATACAAATAATAAATTACGGAAGCGAGGACAACAATAATAATGGCAAGGATTATCAGAAAGACAACACCAACTACTACTACTACAACTACCACCACCACTACTACTACTACTACTCTACTACTACTGCTGCTGCTGCTGTTTTAACTGTTGATGCTGCTACTCCATTTGTAAAAATATTTATTTCAAATTAAAAAACGAAATAAAAAACAAACGTTTTTCCATCAGAGATTATGAGCCAGGTGGCTTCTAGAAGTTTAGGATCGGGTGGAGACTTCGGAGGTTCTTTGACGTAGACATTCAGCCAGACAGTCTTCACACGTTCCAGCTTGTAGTCTCGCCTCATCACAAACGTTACTACGCCATCTTCATCTGGTGAAGCTACTAATTGTGTGTGTGCGTTTGTCTATGTGTGCGTGTGTGTGTCTTTGTGTGTGTCTTTGTGTGTGTTTATGTTTGTGTGTGTTGTGTGTGTGTGTGTGTGTGAGAGAGAATGTAAGTGTTGGTTTGGGTGAATAACGGTTATATGTGTTTGAATGTATGTGAGTATGAATGTGTGTATATGTGTTTGTGTCATGTGAATGTATCAAATGTTTGTTTGCCAATTATGTTTGTTTTTGTTCATAGTTCGATCTAGTAAGTATGTGCCTGGATAAAAAATTGCATGCCGTTTTTTAGGCAAATAAAGTTATAACCCATTTATAACCTTTTAAAAATTCAAAAGTCTTTGAGTTTTTAACTATTCGAAAAAGAAAAACAAAAGCTTACAATAGAAATAATGGCACCACTTTATAAAAAATAAAGTAACATTGGTGTTCATCAACAGCCTGTAACGAAACGAAATCGTCTGCAGCTAAAACATCACCGACACAAAAAGTTAAATAAGCACTAGCAACAACACAAACGCATAAACAACTCAACTCAACAGTATAAACAACTTCACTTAACATAAGTAACAAAACGTTGTTGGATGAACTATTTTTTTTTCCTTCGTGAAGTCTGGTGGCGGTGTGAACGAACGTTCTTTCACTTTTGGGAATATTTACGATCACCTTCCATCAGCAACTTTTTATTCTGATTTGAGGCCACATTTTTCTCATTCTCATAATCTCTTCTTCATTTTACAATAGCATCATCATCCTGATCATCAATGAAATCATCGCCATCATCATCGTTCGTCATCGTTTTATTATTGCAATGTTATTTTTATTTAACATCATCATCATCTTTGTCATTGTCAAATCCCCATTCCCATAACTTTATTGTCATATTATTTCATCTTCGTCATCATCATCTTATTGTTGTCATGTTTTTTGAACTGAGAAGCAGACCAATTCCACCGACGGAGAAAGTTATAACAATGAGAAAATGTATCATGATTGATGATGTTGAAAGGATTTTTAGATTGAGTAAAAGTTGCGTTAATGATTTTAAATAATTTTTAAAATGTATTAAAGATGGTAGACATCTATTGAGGCCAACAATTTATTTATTTATTTAAAGAAAATTTTAAAAATATAAGTTATTGAACGAGACGGGTGCACTGCACAAAGTAGGAAAAAATAAATAGTAGATTGGGCCTACAAAAAAATTCATCACATGATTAGATCTGTAATTAAAATATCAGACGAATACAAAAACATTCTGCAGGTTTTTAAAAAATGATCACAATTATTTTAGCCTGAAATAATGTTTAGCGAAAATTGTTAACAATTTGCAACATATTTATGTTCATTCTCATTCACGAACAATTTTTTGTAGAGGTTATATGATTTATTATTTTAATAATTACTTCATTAATTTCAACTTTTTTTGTATGTATTTATTGTATGTATGTATTGTATGTATGTAGCTTGTATTTTTTATCAAAAAAATTAGCTTGAAAGTTTTTTTTAATTAATTAAAACTTCAACTTAGATTTACTTTAATTGTCAGATTAAGAAGTTTAAAAAAAAATAATTAAAACAAGTCGATAACAAAAACAATATTAGTACTAAACTATTACTACGATTACTATTACTATTACTACTACTATTACTACTACTACTACTGCAACTACTACTACTACTACTACTACTCAACTGTTGTAACCATAGTAATGAATTCAGCAATCTGTAGCAGTGCTGATTAAACGCGGGTTCTTTAAAAATATGAAATAATAGTTTAGAATGCAAGCAGTATACACGCATGTGAGTGGGAACATCGACGAGAAAGTAAAAATAAACCTATCAGTGAAGCTGCGCTAACTAGCAGTCGTACGAATAATGATTGCTGGTATTATTAAATTTTACAACTCACACTTCTCGGTTAAAATGATGTGTTTTAAATATTTTAATGCTTCTATGAATTTTTTTACTAAGTAAATGTAAAATTAAAAAAAATTAACTTACCTCCAAAAACAAAAAAAGACTGTTTGTTGGCTGTATTTATGAAATTTTTATCTTGATCCACTTTTGATTTGAGTGCCATGAGACTTGGAATGTCTGGCAGTTTACCGGGTTTGACGTTTGGCGGTTTCTTCATGTTCAACTTCTTTAAGAGGTTCGCCTTGAAATTTTCTATCGTGTAATTTTTGATAACTTCTCTGTCGGGACACTTTTTCATGACCCTTCGAACCTCGGGGTCCACCGGGTATTTCCTCTCGTCGTAGACCGTTCCCGACTGATTCAGTTGGGCTCGGATACGATTTTCGTTGAAAGTGAACTCGTTCTTGAGGGCACAAGGACCTTCCGGCATGATGTTTTTTAGCAGTTGGTTGCTCATCGTTGTTGCTACGGATCGATTTTTGCTGCTTTCTTCGATGATGATGATGTTTTCATCATTTATCGTATAGCTTGGAAGCAGTGGGTTGTTATTTTGAGCTTTGTTGGGGATGTGTATGTGATGAATGTTGTTGTTGCTGTTGCTGTAGTAAACGTGGTTGCTGTTGACGGTGCTACTGCTGCTGTTGAGATTGTTCATAACTTTGTTGTCAGTGTTGATGATGGAGTTCTCAACGCTGCCAATGTTTATTCTGTTGTTTCTGTGATGTCGATCATGTGACTGAGCTGAAGGGAAACAAGAAAACAGGATAAAGATGGAGACGATGGAGATGTGAAGGAGAGATAGTTGACTTTGTCGATATGATGTTGTTGGAGGAGACTTGATGTGGAAGCTGACTGGAAATTTAGATGTTTTGTTGGATGACGACCTAGTCTTCAATGACGCTGGCAGGTCTGCTGCTGCTGTTGTTGTTGCGGTTCTCGTTAACGTTAGTGAAGGTGCAAGAATCCTTGATATGGAAGACGCCGGTGATAACATGAAAGATGATGGTAATGATGACGATGATGATAATAATGATGGCGATGTTGATAATGATATTGATAATGATGTTGATTGTGATGTTGATAGTGAGGGTAATGAGGATATCGCTGCTGACAACGTTAACATTGATGTAGTTAGTGCAGATGTGAATGTTTCAAATAAAGTTGTTACCGTTGCGGTCATTAATGTTACAACCACCGATGTCGCTTTCTTTAATGTTTTCGAACTTGTTGCCAACGTTTCTGTGGCCGCAACAAAAACGGCAACATTCGGGAAATAATTGCCTGGTGTAGTTTTGTGGTTGAAGGAGTTGGCCGAAACAGCTGATGAATATTGCCACATGCACTCAAATGCACTCGGCATAACAAACATGCACATTCTCCGGTCGAAGGTCTACTTCTTTGACACCTGGGATTTTATTTCTACTTTTTTAGATATGTAAAAAAAATTCAAATTTTTAAAAAACTTTTGTTTGTTGCCTTTT